GGATTCGAGTTAAATACACAAGGATTCGAGTTAAATACACAATGGTTCAAGTTAATTACACAATACTACTTATACAGTATTATACAATAATACTGTTCCAGCTTACATACAAATTCGACTTAAGGACAGACTTTGGGAACAGAACTCATTCTTAAACTGGGGACTACCTGTACAACATAGAAAGAGCTAGGACTCTAAGAAGCTATCAGTTCTGCTATCTCGTATCGGACACCTAGGCAGAAGCCATCTCTTGGATATTGAATATAATATCTGCTATATTTTTATCTAACTCTCTTTCATTTCCAATATGCAATCTGGTATTTTCCACAGTGCAAGTTTCCATCAGTTCACCTTCTTTAGTTGGCACGTATGTCATCTGTTAAAGCTCTGATCCCTACACTCCCTAATCGCGAGACATCACCCAGCTGTTGGGAGCTTACCTAATCAAATAACGGCCAGAAACTGATGCATTTTGGCGATGCTGCAAAAATCTAAATTCCTTCCCAAGGAACGGTGATTTCTCTAAGAGTGGTATCTATCCATCATTTATGGCACTTCCTTTCCATGGCTTGCACCTAGATTCAGTCATTCTTAGTGTGGCCATTGAAATCAATGAGACTTACATTAGCCTCAACTTAGTTTTAAATATGGATCTACCTCAATGTACAGTTGTAACACAGTCATCACAATAAAGAAGAAATACTGCAACACTGAACTGGAGGAAAGTGGGAGTTGAACTCCTGGATCTAATAAAGGTTACATAAAGGTTGAATTCAGGTTACTGCTTAAGCACCAGCACGTCTATTCTCCACTTTCTCTTCAACTAACCTGAACTATTTTATATTCTTATTTCAGGACCTGTGAAGTTGCTTCACGATCAATGATGAACCCCACAATAAACTTAGAGCCAGTATATCAGCCAAATACTTTTATCATTATGCCTGTTTTAAACCAGATGCCCTTGAAACTTTGCAAGCTGCTATTCCTTTTCACATGGACACATTGGGGTGTTGATTCTTTTGGTTTCAGAAACTGTATCCTTCCCCATAACAGAACTGGCCTTGCTATTTGCACTGGCCATGCCATCATCAACCTGAGTTCTGCCATCGCTTCTTTGCCAAACATGACTTATTGGCTCAATGCCTCCCACAACTCTGTGGAAAACCTGACTTCTACCACCTTTTCCCACCTTCCTGATTTATTGGAACTTTATCTGGACCATAACTTCATATCAAGCATTGAGGCCAACACCTTTCAGTGTCTGGGAGGCCTTGAAGTTCTAGATTTGAGCTGGAACCAACTGACTGCTATAGGTCCCCCTTTATTGGCCAACTTGAAACATCTCCGTGTATTGCACCTGGATCATAACAAAATTGCCATAGTGCACTCCAGTTTTCTCATGTTCCCTTTGGCTCTTCAGGAACTTTATCTTCCCTCCAATAGACTCTCTAGTTTCCAAAAGGTGGCAACAGCTGTAAAAGACTTGCACAATCTCACCATCCTGGATCTGGATTTCAATCACATCTCTACCCTGTGCATTGGTCCTTCCCGGGTCAGTTTGCCCACCTTGAGGAATCTCAGTTTGAATAACAATGCCATTTCCAGACTGGACTTGTCCAACTGTTCCTTTCCTAATTTGCGACAACTGAATCTAACTCATAATAACATGTCAGAAGTGGAAGCTGGATCCTTTCAAGCCACTCCTGTTTTGACGGAGCTGTCTTTAGACATGAACCCTCTAAAGGTCTCTGAGCTTATCAACATATCCCTTCCTAACCTGACTATGTTGGATTTATCCAGTATGAAGCCACCATTAAACAAGAATTTATCAGTAGCTTGCTCTGTCTTCCAAAGTCTTCCATCCTTAACTTCTTTGGACATCAAACGTTGCAAATTTAATAATACTCAGTTGAGACAGTTGGGTTCTTGTACTAACCTCACCTGGTTGACTCTGTCTATCACAGAATATAGATACCTGATAAATAAGACATTTGACACATTTCAGAACTTAAAGTATCTTTCTCTGGATAGGTGCAAGATATTGCAACTCCATTCTAAAACTTGGGGAAAAGGGTTACCGTTGCAAACCTTGATCCTGAGTAGAAATGATATCTCTGAATTAGATTATTCTGTTTTCTCTGCTTTGAAGAATTTAAGCTATTTGGACTTATCAAAGAACCGCCTGACCAATCTACGACAGAAATCCTTTTTTGGCATGGCAGCATTGCGGACACTTATTCTACATAACTGCCAGATCACAGCTGTAACCCGTGATACTTTCTACTATGCCCGTAAGATCGAGTTTTTGGATTTGAGTTTTAACAGCATTACGTTAATCAAGAGTTATGCCTTTTCACGTCTGCATCTGAAGACTCTCCTGCTTTCAGCAAACAGAATTTTGACTGTTCAGAAGTTTGCCTTTAGGCATCTCAGTTCTCTAAAATACCTTGCCTTGGATCAAAATTTCTTATACAAGTTTTCTAAATCAGTCTTTGCACCCCTGATTAAGCTGGAAACATTAGATCTCAGCCGCAACTATCTGTTTGCTTACAACAAATACAATTATCCAAGCCCCTTTATGGGTCTCCACTCCCTTGTGAAACTGGATATTAGTTTTCAGACACCTAGATTACCAATCTGCCCTCCAGACAATCTCTTCCAAGGGCTGGAAAATCTAAAGTTCCTGTCTTTGAGAGGCAACCCTAGCAGTTTGTTTCTCAACCTTTCATTTATAAATATTACAACTCTAGAATCCCTAGACCTCTCTGAAATCAAGCCAGGGAAACATGAGTCTTGGAAACTCCATTCACATTTCTTTCAAGGACTGAGTAACCTACATAATCTCTGGTTAGAAGATAGTGCCATCAAGGACCTGCCTGAAGAAGTCTTTTCTGATTTGACATCTTTGGAACAGCTTGTCCTGAGCAACAATGATTTGAGGAACTTCAGTAAAGAATCGCTTAGTGGACTTTCCTCCTTGAAGTATTTGGATGTTTCTGGAAATTCACTGTCATGCTCTTGTGAGAATGCATGGTTCCAAAACTGGTCAGTATCTGTGCCAAACGTTCAAGTGGCCTTGCTGAATTCCTATTATTGCTTTGGCCCTGGAATGCCTGATCGTCTTTTTGCTTATGAAGACATGTCCTTGTGCTCTGAGAACTGGGGAATGTTCTTTTTTATTGCCACCACAGTTACCACCCTCCTGCTCCTGCTTCCATCTTTGGTCTATGCCAAATTTGGCTGGACACTTCGACATGCTTGTTATCTTCTCAGAGGCTGGGGCTGTAGCCAACTGCACCACAAAGGACAGGACTACCAATATGATGCTTACATTTCCTGTTGTAGTCATGACTATGAATGGGTGATCAATAACATTCTGGAAAAGCTGGAAAAGCAACATGAATTCCACTTCCGGTTTTGTTTTGGGCCTAGAGATTTTGCCCCTGGAAAATACTATATAGATAATGTACAGAATGGAATAAGCAGAAGCCGTAAGACCTTGTGTTTGGTGAGCAGAAGTTACTTGGAGAGTGAATGGTGTTCCCTAGAAATTCAACTTGCTTGTTCCAAGATCTACTATCATGGACATGACCCTTTGGTGGTGGTCTTTATGGAAGAAATCCCTAACTACAGGTGAGTTGGGACAGTTGATCCTCAAGAAGGAGGTCTAAAAAAGATTGTATGATAAAGCAGGAGTTTCATCTGCTTTCATTTTAGTGGGAAGAAGAGAATTATGACATGAGGAATGCAATTAGGATGCAGAAGATTGGAGCAAGGGAGAAGGAGCAGGAGATATCTTAGCTCTTTCCATAACATAAAAGAGATCCACTTGATATAGCTTTCCCCAACCAGCTGTCCTGCAGAGCCATCTGGACGGTATCTGGTGTAGTCCACATTGTTTTGACTAAAGACAGAAGGAAGATGTAACAGATGAACTAGATAGAGAAGATTTCCTCTCACCCATACTAGGACAGATTCTCCACCTGGCACTCTCCAGAAATGTAGCTAAGAATTCTGGGAGTTACAGCCCAAATGCATTTGGAAGGTGTTTGCTTGAGACACTATGCTAGAACTTGGAGGGTCACCCAGTGATTGGAGGTGAACAACAACAACAACAATCTTTACCTAAGTGGTCATTAATTCCTAGAATTTTTTTGTGCTGCATGATATGGGGATGATAATAACCAGCTCAGAGATGGCTTTAGAAGAGAGACAAATGTGTCTATTTGTGGTGGAAGAAAAGTCTACAGCAGAGTTTCTCAAACTTGGCAACTTTAAGACATGTGAACTTACATGTCTTAAAGTTGCCAAGTTTGAGAAACACTGGTTTACAGTATCTATTCAAGATGGCGTCCCGCCCAGCACCAGTTGCTGAAGAACAACAGAAGAGGGCAAATGCTTTCCTAATGTCTAGAGGCTTCCCCAACAGTTTGCTTGGGTGTGATCCAGGGTGCCTTTTCCTTGCCCACGATTGTGTGTCCATTCTTGTGTCTGAGTTAAGGAAAGAAAAAAAAACTTCAATCCTTTGGTTATTTCCTAGGTTGTCTCCTTATCATCGCCTAAGGAAACTGATGAAGCAAGAGAGCTATCTCACTTGGCCTGAGGATCCCAAGGCTGAGGATCTGTTCTGGACCAAACTGTGTGAGGCTTTAGGCTCTGAGAGACAAGAAGAGACCTTCACACTATTCACTATAATTGAGTAGCCAAAACCAGGAGGAATGCAGCTACGATTAGCCTACTGGCATTATTTTTTCATGTAGTTAAAATTATTTGATTAGGCCCTTGAGTGGAAAAGGAGGATCTGTCTGTAGATCATCTAGCTATGCATTTGTTTTATATATGTGTGTGTGTGTGTTACCTACTTGGCACAACTGTCTTTCTGATATTCTTGGAGCTCCATGTACTCTAAATCCACCTGTGAGTAATATACTCTAGGTAAGGAATTGTCATTTGAAGAGAAAATGGGGAATCATTTCATAGCTCGGAGTTAGCTTATTTCTTTCTGGCTGATACCTTAATTCTTCTGAGTGAAGCTTTAGCTTCTCAGGAGGGGTTATATATAGGCTGCCAGGCTAGAAGCCTTAGCAACAGAGAAGAAACGGTAGGCAGTGGAGAAGGCAAAAGCTTTGCTGTAACACTTTAAGCCCATTAATGTCTCAGTCGCCAAGGGAAACGATGCTTTGCTCCTTGTCACCAGTGGATTTGGCAAATTAGACAGGAAGGAGAGGCAGGAAAAGCACAAATCCCACCTGCCTATAGTGCCTGGATGTCTGCTGGCAGTTTGTTCTGCTGGGAAGCAAGGAATTGACATCTGGGAAGGAAGAAAATCTTCAGTTTCTGAAACAACGGAACCAGACATTGTGGGTATTGAAGGCTTGGTGACCCGTGAACCAAACATGACTTGAATAGCTCCATCTAAAGTATCTTCTCCTTCCCTGCCAAAGACATTTGTATCTCCTTCCTAATAGAGGCCGAGTTTCTTCTGGGGGAATTTTGTTGGTCATCTAAGAGAGGATCTGGGTGATGGCTGCTGGATTGAAATTGATTGTACAATAGGATTCTTTAAGCTCTAGAGACTTGGCCTTTCTGGAAGTTATCATCTGTTTCTGTGGCTATCTGATCTAACCTGAACTGCCCAACCCTTTTCCATCCCCATTCCTACCCTTTTCCCATCTGCCAAACATCCCACCTGTGGTGATGGCAATGCACTGGACATCGCTCTGCCTCATCTTTTCCCCACTAGTGATAGCCTCTGAATATGGCTTACCCAAATTTATCTGCAGTCCTATGCCATTGGACATGGATAATGGCTGCCAGTCAACTGGCCAGCAACGACATGGAGCGGCAGCTAACAGTGGAGGCAATGCCCATTGGGTGGGGACACTAGAAGAAGCTAAGGAAACAATCCTGCATCTGCGAGAGACAGTGGTGCATCAAAAGGAAATGATCCTTGACCAGAGGGAGACAGTGAGGGAACTGACAGCCAAGCTGAGCCGCTGTGAAACCCATTCCCGGAGGCATAGTGAGCACCATGGAAATCACCAGGAAGAGAATCATAGCCATAACCATGGCCGTCATGAAGGTGGGCATCAGGCCCCTCATGATAATGGTCAAAGGGGACATCATGAGGATGTCCACCAGTCTCACCATGAAGATGGCTATAAGGGACACCATGAGACTGGCCATCGAGATCTCCGTGAAGGCCTCCATGCCCAAGAGAATGAGTATCATCAGAGTGGACAACTGGAGCACCATGAACCTCAGGCTGAGCACAACACGCATGATTCTTTTCACAAGGGACCTGCATCTGCTCATGCTAATGCTATGGAAGAGCCACCCAGTGAGGCATCTGCTGCAATGCATGAGATGGAGAGAGTGTTGAAATCACTTAAGGAGAGACTAGAGCATTTACAGGTATTAGCTGCTACTTTTTGAAAACAATTATTCCTTATCCATCTTAATGCACTTTATCTTTTCAAATCTATCTATTCCCTAACTACTCACTTGTTTACTATCCATCAATCCTTGTACTCATCCTCGCATTTACAACCCACACCCCCTCCTTATTTCTTAATCTGTCCAAAATGCTGATCAGCCAGCACTTATTGTAAACATTTTACTCTCATTCTGTTTATCAGTTTCCATGTATGATCCTTCATGCAATCCTCTCTTCTTCCTTGTATATTATCAGATCAAACAATTCCAATGAATGCTGTTACCTTCCCTGATAATCCTTCATGCAATCCTCTCTTCTTCCTTGTATATTATCAGATCAAACAATTCCAATGAATGCTGTTACCTTCCCTGATAATCCTTCATGCAATCCTCTCTTCTTCCTTGTATATTATCAGATCAAACAATTCCAATGAATGCTGTTACCTTCCCTGATAATCCTTCATGCAATCCTCTCTTCTTCCTTGTATATTATCAGATCAAACAATTCCAACGAATGCTGTTACCTTCCCTGATAAAAGCTAAATGCCCCTCCACTCAAACTCCTACCAGAATTACCTACTCACAACAAACCTTCCTGCT